ATAAATGGAGGCTCTGGCTTGAATAGATAAGTCTAGAATAGGCAGGTGCCGATTCCGGGTAATTAAATTGTGGTTCTAGTACATTTTTTTTTAATATATGTGCACTTGTTGCTTATTCTTATCTTTAGCAGGATCTGGCCGTGCTAGTTTGCTTAATAAATTATTACGACAGAAATGGCATGTCCATCTCATTGAGCTCGATGAGCAGAAAGTGCTTGTTGCGTATAATTGCTTTATGTTATAGGTTGTACCTGTACATATCAGATGCGTTATTGGAAACTGAGTTGAGTTATGGTGTAATGTAACTTGCAGTCAACAATGAACGTTCATGTTTTATTGTGAATTTGGGATTTCAATGTGATCTGAGTTTGGGCATTATGCCTGCAGAGCGTTTCTGACCAGGTATGGGCCTGTAGTTCTGCAGTTGTATATATTCCACCATTGGTGGCTCAATCGGCTGTTTACCCTGTAATTGCTTCTCTTCATTTTGTGATGTGAGCGAGACGGAAGTCTGATATAGCCACAGGCAAAAATTACTACCAGCAAAATGTCAATTTTTTTTGGAGGTCCATCTCTTCGCTATTCAGGTAACTATTTTGACAATAAAATTTTCAAGTGTTGTCGTATTATGATATTCGTGTACAAGCCAACAAAAAAAATTGCTTCATGATGCAGGTGGGCAAAATGATTGATGACAATTGACTCGACTCTACTGTCACCCTAGGAATTGGCCAAGTGCAACCACTCCCTAAAGCGTAGTATAGCGGTTTTAGGTTTATATGTCAACCCGGGTCCTAGATCTGATGACTACTCAGTGAATTCTTGTTATCTAGCAATGAAACTGGAATGCAAGTCTAACTAACAAACTAACAAAGCAGGTAAACGGTTGTATTCAAGTTAAGAGAGGTCACCCGGATATGGTTCCCCCTAGACTGCAGTTAAGCCGGATTGTAATTACCAAGTTCAGTTTCTATGACAGTTATACTGCGGAAGGTTCTTAAACAGCCTGAAGTCTCGACTAAAGGTCTTCAGACCCTCTCAATCTGACTCTCTAGCGGGCGACTAACCTCCACCGGAGTCGACAGATTGAGGCCCTAAGAACAAAACCTCCACTACCGGAGTAAATCCGGTACAGAATAGTGAGTTGGTTCCTCGACTAAAGTCACCAACTCCCTACCTTCAATCAAGGATACTCTATTAACCTAGGCAGATATTCTCATTCTAGGTTAAAGCAGAAACAACAGGAATTTGATCAGGATTCAAGTCATTCAATCATTAAAACCTCAATCGAATATAATCAATCACAGAATCAGTACTTGGGTTCATACAATCAAAGCCTAACGTACAAATCTAGGGTTCTCCATACCCAGATGAAATGGAGAACTACTCCATAGAGAAGAAAGCAAAAGCAGAATCAGACACGGAATTCATACTGAGAAGGATGGATTCCTGCTTCTGGACGTTGATCGGCACTTCTCCAAGCTCAAGCTGGCCTCCAATGGTGTTGAAGATCAATCTAGGGCACTTGGAGACTCTTGTTCGTCACTTTCTCTCTCTAGGAACTGATCTCTCTCTCAAAAACTCCAATCCTCTCGAATTGTGGCTGAAATTCTGCTTGAAAGGAGAAAATCCCGACTCACACGGCCAGGGTGGCACGGCCGTGCAGCTCACCCAGTTGCCCGTGTGAGTCAAAACGCATCGTTTCATTTAGTTCGAATTCCAGGCTCTTTGCACGGCCAGAATGGCACGGCCGTGTGGACATCCCCTCTTGCCCGTGTTTGCTCTCGCAGAATGTGGCACGGCCAACCCGGCCACTTGCACGGCCGTGTCGATCCTCTGCTCTGCCCGTGTGTGCTCTCGGCAAAACTCGCACGGCCAGGCCATTACTTCACACGGCCGTGTGAACATCAGGGCAGCCCGTGTGACCTCCTTTGCGACTTGCCTCGCGCCCGAACTTCGCCCAATCGACCCCGAACTCGCTCCTAAACCTTCATTCACTTGCCAAGACCTGAAATATCACAAACAAGCACAACCTAGCGTGAAATCGGTCTAAAACACGAGAAACCACATCTCCAACGGTGTAAGAACAGGGGTGAAAACATGTGTAACTAACGGTCTATCAACAATGTTGCACTACTCAGGATATTGCATCAATGGATTTAGATTCCACATGAAAGATCACGAGATTAGAAAAAACAAGTCAAAATAGTGGAGTCAAAATAGTGGATATTGCATTAATATATTTAAATCACTTATATTCAAAAAAATTGAGTTAAATATGACTCAAGGATACTCGTTATCCCTCTTTCGAATTATTATTCAATTAAAAAAAAATAATCGACGGTGGTTTGCGAAAAACAGCACCGTTATATAAAAAAAAGAATGACAACACCACACGTTCCAACACCAAAAACGACGCTGCATGATGATATGTATCGAATGGTGGGTGTGAAAGAGGGGAAACTCCCCTCCACCTCTTTTTCTATTCTCATTTCAGAGGAACCCTAATTATGTTCTCATTCAATCGATCGAGTTCCCTAGACTTCCCTTGAATAGAAATTGCAATGGGTAGTGTCAACGGTCGAGTCCAACGTTTAATTGAGCACATCATTATGGAAACTCTCGCCCTTTAAGCCGGAGTGAAGGAGAGAGCGGAGAATCCATCATCAGATGGAGAAGCGCAAAACGGGAAGCGCAAAACGGGAAAAGGCTATCGAGATTGATTGTTGCGTTTCTGGGAGGTACGAAGCGTCTGGATTGATTTTGATTCAATGAATTAATTAAAACATGCATTTACTTTCGATAATAATTGTAAGTTGCTCGTTACTTGATTCATCTGAGTTTTTGGCCATCAATTCATTACCCTTTTCCTAGAAACAACTCAGCGACTAGTTTACATTGATTAGGACTCTTCTATTTATAGCGAACGTCCTGAAACACCCTAACCCGGCCGGGTACTACTTTTACTAAAATGCCCTTGATAAATATAATGCTCAAATCTTAAATTGCAGCGGAAAAAAATTTCATAAATAAAATACTGAAAACACACACTTGTAGCTCAGAGCAAAGCCCTAACACGTGGGCAAATTCAACTCAAACTTTAAATCTCAAACTGATCTCCAGTCTATACTCATAATCATAAATGTATATAACTAATAATCTCTAATGTTGTTGCTACTGAAACCTTGACTAGGCATCCTCTGTGACGCTTATACTGCCCTCCTCTAGCTGGCTGCCCTCGAACTTTTCCTCTCGAACTCGCTGCTCTCTAACTGCTCCTCTAGCTAGCTGCTACTGAACTGGTTCTCGCTCATTCCCTTACTAAGGCCTGGTGAGTGAGTTGGGGTCAGTCTACGCCCTTACGTTTAAAACTTTCTAATAATTTTTCACTTCTTCTCAAACACTTAAACTCAAACTGAGGGAAGTTGTTTGTACTTCCATTATTAAAAATCTTAACTCTTAAAACTGTATGGGAGTAACTGTTACTCTCCATTCTTAAAGCTTAAATCTCAACTTAAATACTTGACTGACACTGGGATCCCTCACTAGCTAGTCTGGTTGCTAACTCATACGTATGAGAAGCCATCAAGGCTATCCTTAAACTTAAACTTAGTTAGGGAAGTCGTAACGATTCATCCCCCTAACATCTTAAACTTATCGTGGTGGCTCTTCACCACGATTATCAAGAGCATAACTGCTGCTCTGTCTCAAAGATCTCAAGAGCATACTGCTGCTCTATCTGAAAATCTCCAATGGCAACGGACTGGTGCTAGTGACTAAAAACACTTAAAACTACTTCACCTTCTTGAAGGTGAGTTACTTCTTAAAAAGAACTTGTTTCTTAAACTTTAACAATAACTCAACCATAACGCTTTAAGGTAAATAGCACAAAATCACCTCAAATAGCACAAAATCAGCTCAATCATAGCTCAAGCAAAGCACAAATAATCAATCATAAACATAACCAAGTAACGGTAACCAATTCGCTAAATACTTAAAAACATAATACTTAAAAGAATACATAAGGCATAGAATTTACACCATTTACACACCTGTTAGTCAACTGATTGGCCTAAGTTACACATCATTTCCTCCTCGTGTGCGTAGTGTCATCTTCACCACTTTTGATAACTCTGGGCTATCTCCCAGCTCCAAAATAATTAACCATTTCCCATGAAATTCCACTACGCCTTCATTTGATAAACCTGTACAAATTAGTTGGGTTGTGATCTTGATCCAACTCCCTGCTCCACCAACCAATTTTGCCATGTCATAGCCATAAAGGGTTGCAACAGACCCCAAAACCACCATTGAAGTCGTAGCTCTGTCTACTTTTGCCGATCGGGACGCGTGTACACCCGGCAATGAGACCCTGGCCAAAATTGCATCGAAGAGATTGCCTGATCACAACAAGGCCTCCACCTTGAACCACTTCCCACGACATCCATATCTTCAACCAGTGCCCGCAACAGACCGCTCCCTACTTTTGGTGCGATAGGAAAGGAGTCCTCCATCAATAAATTGCCACATTCCCCCAAACTATTTGATTGCTCCAGAAAAACTCTAATTCCTTGGGAAGGGATTTGGGAAGAAGCACTTTTGGAGCGGTAGTTGTGCGAGGCAAAAGAAAATAACTAGGGTTATGGTGGGGAGGTGTTCCGTCTCCTTTCCGCTCTCACTAGCCTAATAAGCTTGGGGTCTTTTTTTTATACGAATACTAATATTAATAATGATAGTAATAATAGTTCTTATTATTATTATTATTATCATTATTAATAATGATAGTAATAATAGTTCTTATTATTATTATTATTCCTAATCCCCGGTTGCAACTCTTCGTACATACTCGTTAAACCAACCGTTCACGTATTATGGTCGAACCGAAACCCAAAGGTCGGGGTGTTACATTTCCTCACACATTACTTTTACCTACACAGAACTCGTCCCCTCAGGCAAACAAAAACATAGACGAAAAGCTTTATTTTGCTTGTGCTAGCTAGATGGGAAGGCCAAAAAAGGCCGGGAAGACAAAGCCTTCCAAAAGGTCAGTGGAGGAACAAGAAAGGTCAGCCCCTCTAGAGACTGTCGAAGTGGTTTCTCGGGAAAATGAAACTATGCCAGAAACTCAGCAGGCAGAAAGGGAGGGTGAACAACATTTGAATGAGTTGGAGAATGAAGAAGTTCAGCCCCCGAATGATGACATAGCTTTTGAAGAGGATGTGAACCTAAACCAGGGGGCTCACTATACTGGGGAGGTTCTTCAGCTCAAAAGAAGAATGGCAGAGGTCCTGGAATAGGGGTGAAGCCTGGCCATGGCCTTCACCTTTAAATACATGACAACAGGTTATAAATCATGATATTTCCCTTCCATGTGACAAGCTATAATTTCCATTGAGCTGAATTCTTATGAACTTTCTTTTGTATTTTCAGGATCGTCACACCACAGGCTGCCCATGAACTCACTGCCATCTTCAAAAGGAGATCACATGCTCTCTTCCAAAAGAAGAACTCAATGTTCATCTCAAGGAACACATCAAGAGGAAATTTTCCCATTGGATGTATGGGTTCCGCAACCGAGTATTCAATCAATATCCAACCCTCGCCGAAAGGATTAACAATCCACCTACTGAAATCCCTGCTCATATTTGGACGGATATGGTTAACAAGTGGAGTGACCCAAACTGGAAGGTAGTTTACTGATGTCTAAACTTGTGTATTATGATGATTTGTGTTTGTATCTAATTTGTATTATCTTTACACTCTGGCAGAGCACCACTGATAAGAACAAAGCGAATCGTGAGAAGTGTAAGCTCACTGCTCCTGCTATTTTCTTGTGTTTGCATATCAAGAAGACGGGGAAAGAACCAGATCCTATAGTGACATTCAAGAAGTTCCATGTGAAGAAGGCCAATGGTGAATTCACCACCCCAAAAGCTCAGACCATACATGTAAGTACATTGCTTGTTAAGTAATTTTAACTTTCTTATGCTTTTTTTAAATAATTTAAACTTAGCGTATTAGTTATTAAATACTATTTGTGTAGGCTGAAATGAAGAACAAGGAAGCTGAGAAGTTGAGTCAAGGGGAAAAGGTGAACTAGTTTGCGATTTATGATGAGGTTGTAGGAAAGCATACTAGGAAACGTGTTTTGGGAATGGGTTATGGGGTAAGTGGTGTGGATGTGTTTGGCCCTACCTCCAGTCAGGGCTGCAGCAAAAGGTGCGAAGAGGACCGAAGGCAAGAGAAGGCAAGAGAAGGCGAAGAATGATGAGATGATAAGAATGCTGAAAAAAGAGCTAGTGCAGGTGAAGAATGGAGTTCCTCAAATTGTCGAGGACACATTGAAGAGGCTAGGAGTTACTTTGCCAGAGTCCTCAAGTGTAAGTGTTTGTTACTATTTTTGAGTTGGTTGAGCATGATTAATGGTGTGAACCTTATCATGATCTATTTAACTTTGTAATTTGTTGCTATTTCAATCGGATTATGTTTATGTTATGTTTTCTTTTGTTATGTGTTGATGTTTTGTTATATGTTTGAACAAGTGTTGAAGGTGGTTTCTTCACGTTTTATGTGCATGTAATACAATTTTGGTGTTTACGCCACCTAATTTTATGGAGAATTTTCTTTTTTTGCTAATATAATGCATTCAATAATTTTTTTATGCTTTTAATAAATTACCCGCAAAATATATTTTATTATTATTTTTAGTTTTCATCACAAATAATATATAGTAAAAATGTTTAAAATATCGGACAAAATTGTATTTTTAACGGTATAATTTGGTTATAGTAGAAAGAAATTCGGTTAGAATTGTCGAGTTGCTTCCCACGAATATTTTGTGTTGCAAATATTCTATTTGTGATGCAACAAATTGGTTAGCTTTAGTAAGTCGCTTCCGAAAAATATTTTGTGTTACAAATATTCTTTTTTTAACACAATAATTTAGTTAGATTTAATATGTTTCTTCCGACGAATATTTTATGTTTCAAATATCCTATTTTTAATGCAACAATCTGGTTACATGAACACAAAATTTTATCTAATTTAATAAGTTTCTTCCCACAAAAATTTTGCGTCACATATATTTGATATTTTCTTATGAACTTATTGTCTCGTTGGAAACTAAAATTACAATTATTACGAATAGTTTTTCGTGACGCAAGATATTCATTATAAATACCACAGGGGTGTTTTGGGAACATAATGATCTCTTGCGATAAATACCACAAGGGTATTTTCGTGAAAAAATGTCATTTTTAATAACGAATTTTTTCTTTACTGACGAACACGTGTTCCTCATTTATAGTTTATCTAACAAAATGCACTCCTCACAAAAAATATTTCACCACTTAAAAAAGATTAGGTCAAACAATTTCGTTAAGTAAATTTCTTTTCTGATCACGATATTTTGCATAACAACAAAAAATAGTTGTCACAAATTTATGATTTCCCTACGCAAGTACATTTAAACTATTCGCGAGGTACCTTTACCCCACGACTCACCAACGACCGTATTTCGTCAAAACAACCCTATTGTGACGACAAAAGGTCTTTTGTGATCCCAATCGTCTGGTAACATCTGCCAGTCTTTTTTGTAGTGTAGATTTTGGATTGATTGTTGATGCTTGTGACAAGCCCTAAGATTGTGATTCTTTATTATCTATTGATTTGAGTATTCCATGCAATTGTTAGATCTTGATCGCATCCCTCAATTTGGGGCTTTTTTACCTAGGAGAGAGAATATCTCTCTAGGTTGAATAAAACACTACCAAATCATCATTGTGTGTCTATGAACGAGTGTGATTTGGTCCATAATGTAGTATTGGGTATTACCCAATTGCGGGAGTTCGTTGTGAACACCTCATTGCCTAGTCCACAACCCAAAATTTAGTCAACCCTTTTGAGTCGTGTGTCTAAAGGTCGCTCTTGTGTTATGTAGCTCCCGCTACTTGAGTATCATTGATTTAGATGGAGCGACCCTATTTTCTTTGTGTCTACACCATTATCGAGTCACCCTTGTGTTTGGAAGCTCCATTCATACCATTTGAGCTTAAATGAGGTTCCACATGAGTGATTAATGCATGGCTTTACTAAGAATGAAAAAGTGAGTGTGGAAGGTAGTTCTTCAAAGTGAGCATTGTTCTTTAAGTAAAAAAATGTGGCATGTTCTAGCTCTGTACTAGTCCTCAAATAAAATAAAAAAGAAAGAAAAAGAAAGCACAAAAATGAAAAGGGCAAAGAAGAAAAGAACGTGGCCACCAAAATGTGTATATGCTCTAAAAAATGTTTGTTTACCTCCCTCACTCTTATACTTGAAAAGTGAATAGCAAATGTAGCAAGAAAGTTTCTTGTGAATGGTTTGGTGATTGGTTGTGGTTTGGAATGGAGGGAATTGTGGTTTTTGGTTAAGGTTGTATTCGAAACCATAGAACCTTGTTTTGATTTTAGGTTAAGATGTGGAACTTCATGTTATGTTTGCCACCATCGAAAAAGTCTTTTCCCCGTGTCCTATACCATAGACAGTTATTTGAACTTGTGTCTAAGACCTCCGGACGAGCTAGTGATGACAACCATCCTTGTGAGCTCTAGCATTTATAGGCTTCCATCATGGTGAAGAGACGATAGGGCTGAGCATTTTAGTATACACATATATTTTTTATCAAAATGGTCCTGACCCCACTGGTCGAGAGTGCGATTCATTCTTCATGCTTTGCTCTTATCATGTATCCCAGTGAGGACCTAGTTTGCTCGATCGTTTGTTCCTATTGTTTGATCTTTATGCATGGATAACTATGATTGGTGAGTCGTCTTGATGGTTCATGTTTTGGTTTGTGAACAATGGGAGAACTCTTCCTTTCCATGATTTTATTGCATTCAAATGTTATTTGTGGTGGTTGTTAGGATTTTTTTTGTTGTCTAATAGCCATTGAAATTCACATGTTTTATGCCTTATGACATGCCCAAAATTTTTATTAAAAATGAGGTTGAGAGCTTACCTTGTTTTGTACTTGGTTTGCTTGGGGACAAGCAAACGCTCAAGTGTGGAGGAGTGATTCAGGGCTAATTTCATAATTTTACCTCTCATTTATTGATAATTTGACTTGGTAAATTATCGTTCCTTGAACTATTTTTATGCTAGATTGTGCTTCTTTTGTCACATTGCAGGTCCTAGTACATGTGGGAAGGTCCGAGAAGAGTTTCGTGGCGATTGGAGGTCGAAAAGCGCCAAAAAGTGAAGAACGGTAAAAAGTAACGGGCTGGGGTAATTGTCACGGTTGCCAGGCCATGACAATTGAGTCAGGGCATGACATTGTACCATAATCAGAAGGGTCTTCATGTTTAGCGGACCTAAAGATTTTCACGCTCCCGATACCGTGATAATCACCCACAGAGCGGGAAAATGGCCCAAAATGGTGCGTTTTTTGGCGAGATCACCCTTTGCTTGCTATTATCACGGCCGTGAACAGTGACCAAGAAGTCGGCACTGTCGGCTATAAAGACAGCAGCTAGGAGAGAAAAGGGAGAGCTGGATTTTGGAGAAGAAATTGATTTTCTCTCTAGGATTTCTACCCAAAAACACCAAAGGGGAGTTCTAGTGAGAGTGGGAGAGTTCTTGAGTGATCTTGGAGCTTAATTGAAGGTATTGATCAAGCTTGGAAGCATGAAATCAAGTCTAGAAGAAGAAGATCTTGTGCTCCAATTTGTAATCTCTCTCTTCTCTCTCTAGGAACTAGCCCTCTTTTCTTGGGTTTAAGAAACCTAAGTTTAGTTTTTGGTTTTATGTTGATGTATGTGAAAAATTTCATGTTTGATTAATGATTTTACTTAATCGATGGATGCTTTTCATATGATCCAAATTGGCCAAGTTTACAAGTCACAATTACTTTCCAAAGAAGCTATCAAGGTTGGAAAGAAAAGAGGTAGGATTTGGCCAATTGTTGGAACAGTTTCGAGATGCCTACTTTGGAGGCATAGTTTGCACAATTAGCTCGACGCAAATTCATGATTAAGGGCTTGTATTGAAGATGAAGTGTTTATCTACATGTTGGAAGCATTGGTGAAACTAGAACAAGTCATTAAAGTCATTTTCCAAACCCTTAAAGTTGCCCACTCAAAACAGGAAAACTGCCTGAAAATGGATAAGTCTGGAAACGTGACTGTGAAGCCTACTTTGGAGCTCAATTCAAGGAGCATGGATGAGAGTCGAGCCCAGAGGCTTCTACCACATAAAATTAGGTATGTTTTTTTTTCTACAAATGCAAGGAATTTGATGAAGAAATAGATATCTGGAAGGCTTCGAACGAAGGACTCAAAAATTGTCCAAAGTCATAAAAATCTGCTTTGTAAAAATAGAATTTGTTTTCCTTGTTCAATTCGGATTCATTGTTTAGGTAGTTTATGATTCCTTTACGAGTTGTATCTTAATTAGGAATTCTTTGTTAGCTTGTTAGACGTGGTTAGAAGTATTTAAAGCTTTCTTTTCGTTGTAAACTTGTAACATCCCGAACCTTTTCCCGACAAGATACTGTCCGCTTTGGGCCTCTACACCCGCACGGATTTCGATTTGGGGTGCAATTCAAGGTGACTTCCCATAAGGTCACCCATCCTTGTTGTGCTCCACACTGAGCACGTTTAACTTCGGAGTTCTCACAAGAACTCTTCCATTACACCCCAAAACGCGTCTTGTCAGTTAAGGCCGGTTTCCTACTTATGAACCATGGATCTCTCCCGTGCTTTGTCGATGTGGGATTTGCCTAAGGTGTTACATACACCCCCCCCTTGGGACTCAACGCCCTCGTTGAGGTTTGCCCCACCATCGTTCAAGAGGGACGCGGAGAGGCTCTGATACCACTTGTAACATCCCGAACCTTTTCCCGACAAGATACTGTCCGCTTTGGGCCTCTACACCCGCACGGATTTCGATTTGGGGTGCAATTCAAGGTGACTTCCCATAAGGTCACCCATCCTTGTTGTGCTCCACACTGAGCACGTTTAACTTCGGAGTTCTCACAAGAACTCTTCCATTACACCCCAAAACGCGTCTTGTCAGTTAAGGCCGGTTTCCTACTTATGAACCATGGATCTCTCCCGTGCTTTGTCGATGTGGGATTTGCCTAAGGTGTTACATAGTCAGATTTTGTTGAATTGAAATTGAAACCTCGGTTTTGCAGAAGTTTGCGAACTTGTTGGGTTTGGTGGATTCCAAACTTGCTGAGCTTGTGTATCGATTGAATAGTCCTTTCAACTTTGCCCAGGTTTGGAATCATCCGTTGGTTTCGTTTTACACAATTTCCTATTAAGAGCGCTTTGTTCTTAATTCGAGCTCAATCGATCTTTGGATTGATTGTTTCTGCATTACTTTGATCAAAAGCACCCCCTGGTGCTTTATTAAGTGGTATCAGAG